TGGTCCAGCCCAGCCATCACCACCCCGCCTCGCCTCGCCGGTGTGGGCACGTACCGCGGTGGTGTAGGCGCCGCAGGCCCCCAGCGGCAGGGGCGCGGGGTGGAAGGCGCCCAGCTGGCCTGCCATCTGCTGCATCCGCCGCAGCGCGCGCTCCCGGTCCGTGTCTGCCAGCTTGACCACCAGGCTGGACGAGGCGCCCTGGGCAGGGCAGGGGAGGCCGCGGTGACCAGCCCCGACTCCGGCCCCAGCCCTGGGCTGAGTGCCTGCCCCATCGGGCCCTTTCCCGGGGCACCGAGTGCACATGGGCAGGAGGAGCCCGTCCCCGCCCCACTGGCCTCACCCTAGGCCCGGGCACCCGCCCTCACCGCCATGGTCCGGCTGCCGTGTAGACCCTGGATGGCCGCCTGAGCTTCCCCTTGACTCCCGAACTTCACAAAGGCACAGCCTGGGGCAAGATAGAGGGATCGGAGGCTCAAGCCGCAGGGGCCAAAGGGTCATGAGGCCCAGAGTGAACAAGGGTCACCAGGGAATCTCGGGGTCATCTCAGGTCACCTTTACTAGTGCCATCCGGGCTCCGCAGCACGGTGCACTCCTCGATGTGGCCGAAGGGCTGGAACAGGCGTCTGACATCCTCCTCACCCTGCTGCTTGCCCAGCATCCCCACAAACAGCTTCCGGTCCTCTGGGGACAAAGCCAGGAATAACCTGGGGACCCCAAGTCTTCCTAGACTCTCCAGAGTAGCCTGAGGAACTTAGGAAAGCAGCTCACCAGTCTAACTCTGGGAATTGTGGGGAGTGAGAAGGCCCTGGGCTCCAAGGTTGGATTTCTCTCAGGGGCAGGAGGACCTGCAGGAAGATCTGGAGGAAGGAAACTCAGCTCAGATTCCCTGGAGAGGCTCATCGCTGCTCTTGTGGGAAGTGAGGCAGTCTCAATGTCTTTGGCTACGGAGAGCCTTATAGACATCATTTTTAATGTTTGCTCTTCTTTTTCTTTTCTGAGTCAAGGTCTCATTCTGTCATCCAGACTGTAATGTAGTGGCATGATTATGACAATCGTAGCTCACGGCAGCCTCGACCTTCTGGGCTCAGACGATGCTTCCATTTCAGCATCCCGAATAGTTGGGACTACCGGTGCACGCCACCACGCCCGGTTTAATTTTTAGATTTTTATTTATCTATTTATTTAGAGATGAGTTTGTGCTATGTTGACTAGGCTGGCCTTGAACACCTGGGCTCAAGCAATCCACCCACCTTGGCCTCCCAAAGTGCTGGGATTACAGATGTGAGCTACTGCGCCCAGGCTCTGTTTGCTCTTTCTGTTCTTAGAGTTTGGGAAATGCTATTTCAGACCATGTCTGGGGTGTTAAGGTGAGGTATTGCATTCAGTCTGGGTCCAGAGAAGAGAAATACATCCTAGTTGGTCAGCCTGGTGACAGTGGCTGGAATCAGTGCCTTTCCTGCTCAAATCAAGGAGGGTTCTGCATTTAAAAACAGCACAGAAAGCTGTTTTCTCACCTTACTGCCTCACCCCCAGGCACTGAGTACTAGAATGATGAATCCTCACTCTCAGCCTCGAAGCAAACCTGGGTCCCCCTCCAAGGCCTACAGAGAGCAGGAGGTGTGGTTTTCTGAGCCTTTGACATAAGCATTTTCCCCACTACCTTTGCTGAGCCTGACCCCTTTCCTTCACTCCTACCTCTACCGTCCCATCCCCTCAGCAAGCTTCCAGGGCCCTCTCTGAACTCTTGTCTCCTAACTTCTCCTGTCTTCCTGTCCTGAGCTCTCCCCAAATATTCACGCTGTGAGAGAACAAGTTCTGCCTGTAGACCTGGCTCCCTCCCTGTGTCCACCCTTTCTATGGAGTGGCAGGGACGTGGGAAAGATGCCGCAAGCCGAGTCTATGTCCCCAAAGAAAGCTGGAGAGCTAAGGCTGGAAACCAGGGCTTTGAGGCACATCCAGCTAGCTAGGCCTAGGGAGCACTATCTGGGAGCCTGGGGTAGACAGGCCCAGCCTGCAGGGTCTGCTGTGAAAAGCTGGTTCCTTTCTGCACCAAGGAAAGTCTCTGAATTTGGGATGGGTCTTGACCACGTAGAGAGCAATACAAATTGGGAGAGAATGGGTAGGAGGGAATCTGGCTTCAGGCTTCATCTTCAAGATCCTGGAGCTAACCGGCACAGTGGCTCATGCCTTGTCATCCCAGCACTTTGGGAGGCAGAGAAGAGAGGATTGCCTGAGCCCAGGGGTTTGAGACCAGCCTAGGCAACTTGGTGAAAGCTCGTCTCTACAATAAATAAAAAATTAGCTGGATGTGGTGGCACATGCCTGTGGTTCCAGCTACTTGGAAGGCTGAGGCAGAAGGATCGCCTGAACCCAGCAGATCAAGGCTGCAATGGCCATGAGCATGCCACTGCACTACAGCCTGGGCTACAGAATGAAGCTCAGGAAAACACATCCCAAATTCCTCTACTGCTTGACTGGCTTAGCTAGGCAGTTGGGAGTCCCTGGATTCTGAGTGCAGGGGGGCAAGGTTGGTGGGAATCATAGGCCAGAGCCTGAATGGCAGTGAAAGAAAAATAGGCTAAAGTCAGCAGCTGAGGTATCTCTGACAAGGCTGTGTGCATGTCCACATTTCACCTGTCTGCTGTGGGGGTCAGCCTAGGCTGCCCTGGGGGTCCTGAGGTGTCTGTCTGTTGGTGCCATGTCTGTATGGGAAGCAGGGGCCGCAGTTCATCCAGGACAGGCAGAATGAGTTTTAGCAGAATCCTACCCTCTGTCCAGAGGGGAACTGCCCAGAGATCCTGGGAGGGGAGGGAGAATGTACTTGTGGCAGGAATTCTAGAGAAGGTGCAATGGTCTCATTGCCGACCTTCTGCAGTGAGAGTACTGTCTGGGGGAGAAATGCTTTGCTTCTGGGGTTGTTAGTCACAGAGCAGTGCCCTTAGAGCAGATTGCTGGTTTCCCAATCTTTTAAAAAAACTCAGTAGGATACATTGTTCTAACAAAAATATTAGGATGAAGTTTAAAATGTAAGAGAAAAGCACACTGCACTGATTGAAGACAAAGGTTGGAGGGGGGCACCTGGACTTCCTCCTCCTTGATCCTCACCTAATACTACCTGGGGGGGCTCCAAGGAAAACCCTTTGAAACCACTGATTGAGAACACAGAACAGAGTTCCAAATCATGAATGAAGGGGGATCTGAGATTATCCTGTTCAGGAACCTGAGAAGACAGGAAAGGGCTTTCAGGAATCTCTTGTCCAATCTGATGTTGATGGTTTTGCCTTGACATTGGAGGCTGGACTCCATTTGGTCAGAAACTCAAACCCATGAAGACTGTGTTATCTTTCTGAGCTGTGACACTGAGGTATGCCCATGTGGCTGCAGAAGACCTGGGGAAGGCTGGAGAAGACCCTCAAGTCTCCACAGTCCCAATGCTTTAATTTATACAAGGGGGGGAGACCCCAAAAAATCAGAATTTATTTATAAAAAATTGTGTATTGCTGGGCTCGGTGGCTCAGCCTGTAATCCTGCGCCTTTGGGAAGCTGAGTTGAGTGGATTACCTGAGCCCGGGGGTTTGAGACCCGCCTGGGCAGGCAAGACCTCATCTCTACAATAAATCAAAAAAATTAGCTGGGCGTGGTAGCGTGTGCCTGTAGTTCCAGCTACTTGGAAGGCTGAGGCGGAAGGATCGCCGGAGCCCAGCAGATCGAGGCTGCGGTGGCCAGGAATGTGCCACTACACTCCAGTCTGGGCGACAGTGAGACTCCAACTCAAAAAAAAAAAAAAATGTGTATTTATTGTTACATTTTTAAACTTCAGTCACCTTCAGAATACTCTTTGATGCAATCCACCTATCAATATGCTTTTCCTACTGCTCAAAACAGTTTTTAACTTGTCCATTTTGATGTCTTTTAGTGTTTCTGCTATTTTTTGTTTCACTTCTTCCACATTGGCAAAACATTCCCCTTTGAGGATTTTTTTCATCAGGGAAAACAAAACAAAAAATCACTGGGGGCAAGATTGGGTGAATAGGAAGGGTAGGGCATGAGGACCTTGCTGTTTTCTGTCAAAAACTTCTGGGCACTCAGCGTGATGTGGGTGGGTGTGATCGTAAATCACCCATCATGAAATGGGCAAACATGCTGAAAGACTCACCAAAAAAAATTCACTGAGACCAAATGCAGCTTCTCACAATGCTAGCTAGTATACCGATGCCTATTGATTCCTAGAAACCTTATCTAGTAGGGGAAGGCTGTACTACAAGGGACCTACCCTCCAAAAAGATAATTCCGGTTTTTTTGGGTCCCCCTCATAGTGCAGTTGTGTCATTGAATAGGGTCTGCAAGGTGGTGATGGCACCCAGATAAGATGTCATGCCACACACATGGGCCAGCAACCAGGTAGCCTTATATAGGAAGAGAGATATCACAGACTGAGATGGCACCCCCGAGACAGGAAAGAGGTTTGTCTGGACAGTGGTGATCTGATCCCTCATCAGCTCTTCCTCCTGAAGGCAAAGTCATCAACATCAGATGCTCTTCCTCTTGTCTGGCTCCTGAACTTTCTGCTGATGGTGATCAGTTCAAGCGCGTGTCGTGGCCCATAAAATTCTCTGATATAACTTTTCAATGAGAATCTCTCCAGTTAAGAATGTCCATTTCCATAGCAGGATACTGACTTTATGGTTCTGGACTACTGAGGTATACAGGATCTGAAATTGAAATGAGTACCCACTATGGGCTGAGCTCTATGCTGCCGTTCCCAAGAATCACCTTGAATCCTGATCTTCTCTTTGCCACTTTACAAGAAACTTGATGGTGTTTGACACCAAGATGAGCTGAGTTATAGTGACTGTGAGCCTCAGGTAGTGACCATGAGCCTCTTAAGAGACCTGGTCAAAGAGAAGTACAGCCAGGACTCCAGAAAGTAGTCCCCAAATCCATAACCCTGAAGATTCTGACAGCCGATCAGTGCCCCCCAGAGAAAGATGTAATGGAATATAGCCCAGATACTTTAATTTCCTCTGGGTCAAACTTTGTTAATTTGGTGAAAAGAGGATGGTACCAGAGGTAGGTCAGAAATGTCTGGATAAAAGCATCCTATAGTTGGTGGGTAAGTCTCCAGAAAGATGGAAATATCATGGAGGTTCAGCCTTCCTGGAGTGTAAGGAACTGGAAGGCAGCATCAGTGTAGGGTGGAGACATGGGAAGCCACACAGTTGACTGCAACTCCTGTTGGCAACCTGTGTCTTCCTTGCTCTTCTACCAATGTTTTTTGAACCCAAAACAAGTGGTTTAGGCTCCCAAAGGCCCATCGCAATGAAGCTGCCTTGTACAGCTGCTCATACAGGTTGGGCTCTAATGCAGCAAATGATGGGGTTGAGAGCCCAGTAATCTTAGCGGAATCTTCTTCAGGAGGGGCACCAGGATGTTCAGAAAAAACTGGGCCAGGCCCAGTGGCTCATACCTATAATCCCAGCACTTTGGGAGGCCAAGGTGAGAGGATTGCCTGAGGGTTTGAGACCAGCCTGGGCAACTTGGCGAGACCTCATCTCTACAATAAACCCCAAAATTAGCTGGGTGTGGTGGTGCACACCTGTAGTTCCAGCTACTTGGAAGGGTGAGACAGAAGAATCGCCTGAGTCCAACAGGTTGAGGATGCAGTGGCCATGAGTGTGCTACTGCACTCCAACTTGGGTGACAGAGTGAGACTCCAACTCAAAAAAAGGAAAACTGGTCCAAAGAAATGAATGAGGTGTCTAAGTTTCTGGTTTCAAGGCCACTCATGCCTACTCATCTCCATGTTAGTGGGATGGCATGATTGTAGGGATGGCATAGGAAGAGACCCTAGCCTTGGGGTGCTAAGCATCAAACACATCCTAAAAATACAGGTCCACCTTTCAGGCAAAATACCCACGCAGAAAGTCCTGCTGATGGCAGTAGTAGTAGCAAAATATGTTTTGCCTGGTTTTCTTAGTCACTACTATATGCAGCATATAAAGCTATATGCAGCATATAAAGCCAAGGAAGGCTGGGAAAATGAGTGAAGGAAATACTCAGGCCTGGCCAGAACTGACAGCCATCAAGAGGGCCTTCTAATTCCACACACATGCAAAACCATTAGAACTAGTATGCAAATTCAGCAAAGCTGCAAGATAAAAATCAACTGCATTTCGATATATTAGCAATGAACAATCTGAGATGAAAATTAAGTAAGCAAGTCTAGAAGCACGAAGAAGAATAAAATACTTAGTAATCAACTTAACCCAGGAGACAAAAGACTCGTTCACTGAAAACTACAAAATGTGGCTGAAAGAAATGAAGGTGACACAAATAAATGGAAAGACATCCTGTGTTTATGTGTTGGAAGATTTAATATTGTTAAGATGTCAGTGCTACTCAAAGTGACCTACAGATTTAATGTAATCTCTATCAAAGTCTTATTGGCATTTTTCTGCAGAAATAGAAAAATCCATCCTAAAATTCAGGTGGAATCTCAAGGAACCCTGAATAGCCAAGAATCTTGAAAAAATAACAACTTCCTGATTTCAAGGCTTATTGCAAAGTTGCAGTAATCAAAACTGTGGTACTGGCAAAAAGAGAGACATATAAACCAATGGAATAGAATAGAAACCCTGGAAATAAGCTCTCACATATATTGTCAAATGATTTTCAACGAGGATGACAAAACCATGCAATGGAGAAACGACAGTCTCTTCGACAAGTGGAGTGGGGAAAACTGTATATCTACATGCAAAAAAATGAAGTTAGACCCCTAACTTACACCATATAAAAAAATGAATGGAAAATGAATCAGAGTCTTAAATGTGAGAGTTAAAGCTATAGAATGCGTAGGAAAACAATTAGAGGAGAAAAACCTCATGACTGGATTTGGCAATGATTTCTTGGTAATGACACCAAAAGCACAGGTAATACAAGTAAAAATAAATAAATGGGACTATTAATACAACAAAATTAAACATTGTAAGGAGGATCCATTAGAGGGCAATACACACACACACACACACACACACACACACACACACAAGCTGAGCTCAGTGGCTCACGCTTATAATCCCAGCATTTTGGGAGGTGGAGGCAAAAGGATTGCCTGAGTCCAGGGGTTTGAGACCAACCTGGGCAACTTGATGAGACCTTGTCTCTACAATAAATTAAAAAATGAGCCGGGCATGGTGGTACGTGCCTGTAGTTCCAGCTACTTGGAAGGCTAAGGAGGAAGGATTGCCTGAGCCCAGCAGGTCGAGGCTGTGATGGCCATAAGCATGCCACTGCACTCCAACTTGGGGGACAGAGTGAGACTCCAACTCAAAACAACAACAACAAAAACACTAACCACTTCTGTGTGGACTGGATGTGGTGACTCACTCCTGCAACCCCAGAACTCATTCCTGAACACTGACTCCCAGGTACACCATGCTCTTCTGAGCTCCCAGGCCTGCGAACATGATATTATTCCCTTTGCCTGAGACTATTACTTCCTCTCTCCTCTGTTCTCTATGTGGTTACTTCCTGTTCATTCGTGAGATCTCAGCTTAAATATGACTCCCTCTAGAAACCCATGCTGGGTTAGGTGTCCCTTGTTTATGTCCCCACAATTTCCTATGGACTTCCTGAAAAGCAGGGATCACACTGCATTGAGACCCTTTGTTTACTTGTCTGTATCCCTTCATGGCCTCTGAGCTTCACAAGGCCAGGTGCCAGTGTGCTCAGCTCACATCTGTATTCTTAATGTGGAGTGAGTTACTCAGAAGGTGTCAGTCGGTGGTTGAATAAACAACAGCCCAGTCTGTCTGCTTCTCAGCTCACTCATGTTCTCTTAGTTGGCCTCGCAGCTGTGGGACTGTCTCTTGTTTGTTGGCAGGCCTTAGAAGATGGTCAACAATGGCCCTGATATCCAGCAAAGTTTCCCAAGGAGCAGAAATTCTTGGGACTCATGAACCAGAGGTTTTGCCTGCAGCCTGGAATGTCTCAAAAACCTGTCTGAAAATCATGAGAGGGGAAAGCATGTGTGGCCAGGGGGAGGAGACTAACTGGGGTGGGAACATCTTAACAGATATCAAGAGTCAGAGACCAGAAGTGAGAGTCTAAAAGGATGGAGGAAGTATTTCTTGGAGGGATGAACTCCACAATGGAACCACGAAGCCACCAGAACCCCCCCACCCATCTGGGTAAGGACATTGAGCATAAAATCTGAGAGGACAGGCAGAATTAGTAGGAACCAAAAAATGTACTATCAGTTGGTCTCCATTCACTCCCTGATCCTGGGTGTTTCTTTCACCAACAAAGCCATGGCTGACCTCAAGAAAGGCGGGAGAGAGCCTTACCCAAGGGAGTCAGCAGACATTAGGGAGGGCGACAGGCATGAATGATACAAGATCCAAGGACAAGAAAAACACTAAGTACTGATACCAGAAGCCAGCCTTGCACTTCTAGCATGAAAACTGGTCAGGATCCTGCTGGGTGGTAGAAAGTAGGGCTACTGACCCCTCCAATTCTTTTTTTTTTTTTTTTTGAGTGGGCATTTCACTCTGTTGCCCAGGCTGGAGTGCTATGGCACGCTCACGGCCACCACAGCCTCCACCTGCTGGGCTCAGGCAATCCTTCTGTTTCAGCCTCCTGAGTAGGTGGGACTACAGGTGTGTGCCACCAGGTGTGCACCACCACGCCCAGCTAATTTTTTATTTACTGTAGCGACAAATTCTCACCAAGTTGCCTGGCACCTCCACCTCCCAAAGTGCTGGGATTATAGGCATGAGCCACCGCGCCCACCTCCTGGCCTGATTCTTAAAAAAAAAAAACCTTGGAAGTGCTACTTGGCAAAACATAAATGACCTCTCCCGGGTGAGGTGGCAAGAGCTCCCTTCCACTGGTGCCAGCATCTGCCTCGGTTCTTCTTGCCTCTCCTGGATCTGAGCAACCCAAAGCCCCATCATTCCTTGGTCTAAGCAGGGATGCCTGAGCTTTTTCTGGGGCTGAACAACGCTGACCCCCACCTGTCCCCTTGGTCCAGGGTGGCTCCAGCAATATGCCACAGGTAGGACTGGCTCCCCATGTGGGCCCACCATCCCCTACGTGGGCGACACCCTGAGGTTGGTCAGACAAAGACGTTACCTCCTCGGCCCTCACTGGCAGCGGGTTTCACTTGGATCGGACGATTCATCTGAAAGACACAGGACCAACACACACCCATTCAGCATGACTGCCAGGTCCTGGAGCCCTGGCTTCTCCACTCCTAGACTCCTTAGGATCTGAGTCCTAGCCTCTCTCAACTCTGCACTCCACCACGCCCACACTGGGATTATAGACTTTCCCAAGATCCCTTCCTTGAACCCAAGAATTTAGAAGGTGCTGAAACCAGAAGGGATGGATGACAGGAGCTCAGTGACAAGCACAGGGTGGGATGCAACGACTACTAGGTTCTCCCTCCTGGGGCCCTGGGCAGGGACAAGGTGAGGCCCGTCCCTCTGGCTTCTGGACTTACTTTAAGGTTTTGAGTGAGAGGCATTGGGTGTGAGGGTGGAATTGACACTGCAGACCTGTGTTTTATGTCTAAAACCAAGGATGGAATGCTTTGTGTCATTCAGAGGAAACAATCTGAGAATCAGACTTAGTACTATCTACCCTCGACGCTGTCATTTGATGGTTGTATGACTTTAAGTAAGCCACCCTCTCTCGAATGGGGAGACATCCCCGAAGATTCTGTGTCACTGTAATCTCCACACTCACACCCTCCAACCCCTCCTGGGATCCCCTGCCCCCAAGGCTGCTGGAGTTTTCCGTGGGGCCCATCCTCGGCCCTTGTCTGCCTCCTCGTCCTGTTCTGCCTGACCAGTTCTGGCTAGCTAGTCTTACCCACACCCTCAGCCTCAGCTACTGTCCCCACGGGAATGACTCAGAGCTCTGTATCCCCAGCCCACAGCCTCTTCTGAGCTTTTAGACCCATGTTCCCAGCTGCTTGCTGGACATCCCCACTGGAAAGTCTCACGGGCCCCTTTGCTCAACACCTCCAAACCAGAGCTCCTCTGTTTGCCTGCACCTGATCCTCCCGGTCCCCCGAGCAATAAACCTGAGAACAGTTTGGCTTCTCCCTCCATCCCATCCCCCCTCCAACCAACTTCACCTTTTAATTCAGGGGTTCCCTGATCAGGGGTGGATGAGAATCACCTAGGAGCCATATTAGATGCTTACGTTGGGGCACTGTATCATCTGAAAAAGCCCCTAGGTGATTTCAATATATACCCCCTCCCAGCCCCCAACCACCCTGAGTGAATTCATGGTTGAATCCCCATCTCACCTTCCTCTCATGGGTGTTGTGGGGATCACATGAGGTAATGGGGACGAGAAAGGTCTTTGTAAACTGCCAAGAGCTGGGTGCGTGTGAGGAAGTATTGTTGGGGGGTGGGCAGCTGAGTGCCGGGAGGAAGGAACAGCGGCCTTCCCGTTCATGGAGGAAGGGGTGCTGGTGCCCATCTGGCCTGAGAAGGTGATGATCTGACCCCCTCCCCTCAGGAAACGCACTGTTTCTGCACCAATCAGGGGCCACTCCATCCCTTACCAATGTGCTCGTTGCCGAGACAACAGGCAGCTTCCTGTTACCATAGCCACAAGTGCTACCCAGTAACTATGGCAACGCCCTGGCAGTCACAGTTGAGCAATTTCCTTTGGATCAAATTTGGGGATGGGAGGGGTAGGGAGGACTTACTTTAAAAAATAAAAAAAGGAAAGGAAAACAGGCCGAGCCTAAGCCAATGCAGTCCCCCTCCCACCCAGGGCTCTGACACACCCACCCGCTGGTGGTGGAGCACCCACAGTGTACCAGGCTGTGGGTGGGGGCCGAGACACCGACAGGACTCAGGTTGCAGTCTAGAGGGGATGACAGATCAATCCAAGCAGATCAGGGCGAGCTGGATAGGCCTGGACTGGCCTGGACCAGGGACCAGGAGGACAGGGCCCGTCCCTGGGCATGGCCACCTGCGATTGTGAAGGAAAGACCAAGAGACAGCCATAGAGAGCAGAGACACAGGGAGAGATGGAGAAACACGGGAAGACAGAAATGGTGTGAGAGAAAGAGACAGACCTAGAAGGGGCAAGGACAGAGAATTACTGATGGGAAGAAAGTAAGGGGATGGGAGGGTCAGGGCGCAGGTACAGGAGAGGCAGGGGGAAGCCTGGTAGGGAAGACAGAGAGAGGAGTAGAAGTTTGGGGTGGGGGCAGTGAGGGGGAGCAAACCATCATTATTTTATCAGTTCTTAAATATATCCTGAGAATTTCTCTCTGGCGCCTAGAGTGATGGGCCCATGTGACAGCAGCGGTCGCCATGGCAGCTACCTCCCAGGTGGGTTTCCTGGGAGATGGAGCTCACTGATGCTCTGGGAGTGCCCCTTCCCTCTCCCCTCCACGCCAATACCCTTCATTGGAGAGTGGCATCAGGTGGCATGCACACGGCCCTCCATGGGCCTGGCCTGGGTCTTCCACCACTTAGAGCTGCTGTTGGCATTTACTGAACTCTGTGATGAGCCTCAGGCTGGGCATCTCAGGGGAGACAGTGATGACCTAGGTGGGGACCCTCTCCTCATAGTTTCACAGAGGGGAAGATGATGCCACCATTTCCTGAGAGTCTGCTCTGTGCCAGGCTTTCCTGGGAGCACTTTATATATGTTGTCTCTAAATCCTTCCAACCACCCTGCAAGGGAATGCCCTTGGCCCCATATTCCCAATGAGAAAGCTGAGGCTGAAGGAGATGAGATCACAGGATGGGTGAGCAGTTGGGCTGGGATTTGCCCCCAGCCTGTATGTCGCGGATGACCATGATTTTTGCATTGTGCTGTTCAACTCCATTCTTAAGGCATGAACACAAATAATGAGGTGGAGGGCCCAGGGCCTTGGGGGAGTGCAAGGTCATGAGCTGTGGGAAAGGCTGGAGAGGTTGACTCAGGGAAAGCTTCACAAAGGATGCAGCCTTTGACCTGGGTCTTGCAGGACTGGGGGCACTGGTCATGTGGAGACAACGGGAGAGGTTGAGCTGGCGGCTGGGCGATCCAGATGTCTGCAGGATGGACAGAGAGCTGCAGGATGGAAGGATAAAGGACTCTGGGGAGCACCTGGTAGGGAGGGTGCCAGGGTAGAACAAACCGCTTTCAAGCAAGCCATATAGATGTGGATTTGAGTCCTGGCTCTATCCCTGGCCACTTGTCTAAGGTCTCTGAGTATTTAGATTTGTAAAGGGAGGAATCATGAGCCTACGTTTCAGGCTTGTGGTGACAATGACAACGGCTAGGTGCACTAGATATAAGCTTGTTTCTTTTTAATGGAAGGAGATGAAACTGAAAGGTAGGCAGGGGCAAGGCCAGGGCAGGCTGTGAAAACCACATCAAGGAATTTTGACTTTGTTGTATTTTTCTTCTTTTTTTTTTGAGTTGGAGTCTCACTCTGTTGCTTAGGCTGGAGTGCAGTGGCACACTCATGGCACCACAACCTCGACCTGCTGGACTGAGGCAATCCTTCTGCCTCAGCCTTCCAAGTAGCAGGAACTACAAGCATGCACCACCACACTCGGCTAATTTTTTGATTTATTGTAGAGATGAGGAATTGCCAAGTTACCCAGGCTGATCTCAAACTCCTGAGCTCAGACAATTCTCTTGCCTCCACTTCCCAAAGTGCTGGGATTACAGGTGTAAACCACTGCACCCAGTCAAGTTTGTTGTATTTTGAAGGCGATGAGGATCCAGGGAAGGATTTCAAATAGGGGAGTGGTCTAGTCAGTTTTGTCTCAGGAAAGTTCCTGTAAGCTGTCACTATGCAGAGAAAAACCTGGAAAGGGAGTGATGGGGCAGGAAGATCACTGACACAGGAAAGAGGTGAGGGTGACCTGGATAGAAGGAAATGAACAGAATCAAGACATGTGTAGGAAGAATTGGCTGGGGTATGGTTCTATTGTATGTGGGGACCAAGGAGAGGCAGGGATGTTGGCTGACTTCCAGGCTCGTGGCTTGAGATTTGTGGAAGGTAGGAGCTTGGAAGTTTGGAGGTATAAGGAAGTCCCCAGAGAAGGAGCCCAAGAAGATAAGGACAGAGTTGGAGAGAGCAATGATCCCCTAGACTCTGAGCCTTCAGTCCCCTCAGGGCAGTGGTTATGGAGAACACCTGGGACTTAGGTACATCATGTGTGGCTGGAGGAGAAAGAGAGCTGCCCATGTGAGCTTCCTGGATAGCCCTCCCAAGCCTCGTTCCTGCCATAGCAGGGGAGGTACATGGGAACGGGTGAGGCAATCAGGATTCCCCATGAGGAAAAGAGGATATTGCCTCCTGGGCCAAGAACTTGTCATGGGACTTCAGGTGAGCTCTTGCCTGTCTCCTGTTCCCTTGAGAGTTTCTCAGGTGGAGTCCAGGCCTATGTCTGCTTCAGGGCCCAGCCCTGGAGGGAAAATCAAGGGAATGATGTCAGAGAGAATGGCCTGCTCCAGGCAATGAAGTGGGGACGGTCAGAGGCAGTGCAGACACACACGCATGGGGTCCTGGTCCTTCTGAGTGCCCACCTCAACTTTCTGCTGAACTTGTCTAAAATCCTTGCCTTTGGGCTCAGCACTATCTTCTTCAGGCTTTTCTGTCCTGATGCCAATGAGTCCCTTCACTGCACGCCCACACCCTCACATTGCCCATGGGAAGAGTGTGGATCAGATCCTCCCCAAAGAAAGGACCACTGGTGGGCCTGGGAGCCTGGTCAGGAGGTGCAGGCAAGAGTGGGATGGAGAAAAGCAAACTTCATCATCTGAGAACTTTGTTCTTCCCCATCCCCTCCTCTAGTTCAATCCACTGTCCAGTCCTGGCGCTTCTGGAATCAATATGGACATTCCAGGCAGCTTGGAGTCCACCACCTCGCCCCTTTCCTGCACTGTCTCCAGCCCTAAGCCAGCATCACCATCCACCTGCACTCAAGCAACTGTGTCCTCAAGGGCCACCCGCCTGCAGTGTCGTTTTCTCTCTAGCTCAGTCATACCACAACCATAGTGATCTTTCAAAGTCAGTCCCTTGGCCAGGCGCAGTGGCTCACGCCTGTAATACCAGCACTTTGGGAGGCAGAGGCAAGAGGATTGCCTGAGCCCAGGGGTTCAAGACCAGACTGGGCAACTTGGTGAGACCTTGTCTCTACAATAAATAAA